GAGCCCCCTGTTTCACTTGGCCTCGTAGTCCCATTAAAGTATGGTTGATACCCCGCTTCAAGAAAAGTAATTACAAAGGAATTAGTTACGGAATCCATGTTAAGCAAGTTAAAGTTAAAATCACCAGCTATGATGTGATTATTTCCATGTTTATAATTTACTAAATAATCAGACACTAAATTAATGAAATTTTCTTTACTAATGTCATGACATCTGTAAATCCCAGACACTTTTATAGTTTTGTTATTTTTTAACTCAATAACAACTGAAACTATTTTTAACTTATCAATAATTTCAGTCACAGAACTATATTTTAATGAATTATTTACATATAATATCACCCTATCAGCTCTATTTATGGAGCTGTGGTTATAGTAGAAATCATAATTTTCTATGGCAAAAAACACATGACACTGTAGTACCCATGTTTCAGAGCAAATAATTATGTCCGGTTTCACAGTTAAATTTTCAATAAACAGTTCAAGTTTAGTAAAGTTAGAGTTTAAACTTCTCACATTTAAATGCACGATTAATAGTTTTCCCTCCTGCAGTGAACCATTCAGACTATCTGAATCACTGTAGATCTCTTCAATTTGCATATAGTTATCATCTATTGAAAATGATAAATGTCCAATAATTTAGGTTACTGCTTTGGTGTAACACCAACTTTACCTAGGTGAATCGGTATAGTAGGTTGAAGAGGATAGTCTGTGGAACTAATTAAGTTATTAAATTTGTAAACAAGATACGGACAGCACATGTCATTTGCACTGTGGTCAGTAGGTCTATTTTTGTGAAACGTTTCATTATAAAAAACACAATTTAAGCACTTTTTCTGCTGCTCCTTACACAGCTTGGTATGGTGATCTCCAGCACATATCATACGGGTCATTCCACGTCAAATCGACCAATAGTTGGACTCGACCCCTTTCGATTTGGATAAATTTTGATCAGAAGTTTTCTTTTATCCTATAACGAAGTTCTGTCAAAGGAAAAAAATTAAAAAAATTTTTTTCAAAAGTTATGCAAAATCCAAAATTTCACTATTTTCCATATTTTTTAAATTTATGTTTCAAAAATCTCGAAAACTATTGCAATTAAAAAAATCGCTTATGGTAAACTTCAAAGGGGACACTTGGGGCTATTAAAAAAAAAAAATTTCCAAAAAAAATTTTGAAAAATCTCCAATTTGTGAAATTTTGAATTTTTGAAAATTGTCAAAATTGACTGTCGACAATAAATTTTTGGCTCAAATTTTTTTGTGTACTACCTTGTACCAATCTTAAAAGATCCTGAAATTTTTGGAATTGTGTTTTTTGTTTTTTCAAAAATATGAATTTTTGAAATTTGTTAAAAAAAATTTTTTCTTAATTTTTTTTTTTTTTTTTAATCAGTTTGGCAAATCGCGTAATTTTGATGTTTTGAACAGTTGAAATTTCATTTAGTGGCATAATGATGAGAAAAAAATCATTAATGATATTTGTTTATTATTGGTTATTAATTTATTTAATAGGGCTTTTTACGTGTAAGTTTACTTGACATTCTGTTACGAAAATTTTTTTTTTCTTCAATTCTTCAGTTACTGTTGTTGCTCCTTTTCTTTTTCTTAACCTGAAAAATGTTAATATGACTTAAATCTTTAAACCCAAACTTAAAATAGATAAAGTACTAACACAGAAATTTCAGATTTTTACCTGCTTTTAATATCTGGTTCTTCAACGAACTCGTAGATATCTGTATTTTTTAACCGGAAATCCTTTCCTTCCTCAGATGAGGATGAGGTTTTTACTCTCATCACATCACTTGAAATGGGAATAGCGGCATGACAATTTCGGATTCCTTGTACTGGCAGAGCATTTTTAAATCTCTGGTTAAGTTTTTTTTGAGTACGTTGAATCTGCTCATTTGAAACAAAGTCACAATTGATTCCGTGAACATTTTCTTTTGCCCATTTGAATAGCTCATCAGGTGTTTGAATTTGGTCGTCAGCTTTAGATTGGAGGTTGGCTCTGTCAACCTTCCGTTTTAATGTTCCGCCTAAATCATCACTTGGACCTTTTCCATGTGAAGTTGCAAAATAATGCCATTCCGCTGGTATTTGACAATCTTCCTCATGATTCAGCAAGTTCAGCAAATTGTACCGATTTTTATATTGAGATGCTGCACCATCCGAAAAATAAATTATTTTAGAAATGGCTGGGCTTTTATTTTTCAGAAACGATGTCAGTACTTCCTGGAAACTATAAACTGCTGTTGTATTATGCGTCAAGTTGTCTGAAATGATTATCAAATTTAGAGGTACTATATTGTCGACATTTTCATCAATGGATCTATAATAGCAAGCAAATGGATGGATTGTCGCTTGACTATTATTCCAATAAGCTCTTTGGATACTGTTTTGAAGTAAAAATGAGTAATTTTCTGAGAAGTCAGCAACAACAAGTACTTGTCCAACTTTGAGATTCTTTTTCGTAGTTTGAAAAAATTCAGCCTGTTGACGAGCAATAAAATCATGCTGAAGGAATTTTGGAATAGATTCTACCAAATTATCAACGAAATCATCAGTTGATTTCACGATCGTTTCCAAAGAACATCGATCTACTTGAGTCCATTGTTTATACGTTATTTCATCTACAAAGTTATCATTGAAAATATTTTCGATCGTTCTTCTTAATTTTGTCGAGCCAGGACAGTTACTACAGGTTCCCAAATAGCAGTCACTCGTAGGCCGAGGACAAATAACCATTTTCAAGCAATCTCGATATGAAGAAAACGGTTGACTTTCATTGCTACATTTTAATTTGTCAAGTTTTGCACCATGAAATGATAGTTTAAAATTTTCGTGAATGAGACAGACATAAACTACGTGAGTGCCAGATGAACCTGGTAGAACACATTCAGGGGGTCTCAGACTAGCAAGTTTTTAAAAACTGACTTTTTCAAATGGGTATTTCTGCTTGAGCAATTGATAAATTTCATTTAAATTACCCAAAATCAGCCGTTTTTGTTTTGGAACCCGTTGACCATTCTCATGAACAGATTTAAATTCTTTTTTACCTGGTAACTCTCTACTTACATCTTGATTTCGATAAAATTGTTGAATTTTCTCTTCAGTAGTTTTTAATAATGAATGACCTTTGTTTCTTTGTGGAGTGAATAGAATGCCATCTTCACTGACTTTTTGTTTTACTTTTTTCACCATGTATGTAGATGCTTCTAAAACATCAACAATTTTTTCTGTTGGTCAACTTAAAGGCAAAACAGATAAAATCTGTGATTTTTCACTCACTTTGCTGCAGTTATTAAATTTTTCTTTTAGCTGATTTATTATTTCTTTTCCGGTTAATTCAGGAGTATCGTCAATGTTCAATTGTTTATTTTTAATTGTATGTTTTTGATCGATCTAAATCTTTTTTTTTACAGGAGATAAATTAAAAGTTTTGGCAATAGAATTAAGGCGATCTAGATGTATTTTAGTAGGTGTAAAAGTTTCACCGGTTGAGCTGCACATTTCAGATGTTGAAGTTGTCACATTTGACAACTGCAAGTTCTCAGATAAATTAGAGGACATTTTTTCGTCCACCAGGCTTTGAATTGACACTCTCAACTAGTTGACTTTCTTCGACATTCACAGTTTTTTCAAATATTTCAACTTCATTTTGATGTTCTGGTAATTCACTATAGACTCTTTTAGTACACGAAATGCATAGTTTACTTCCCGGTATAATGGAAGGTAACCTAATCTTACACTGTTCGAACAATTTTAAACTGACTGGTTTCAAAGATTTACGAACTATACTGTCATGAAGTTTAAAGGGATCAGCACAAGATTTTTGATTTGAAGTATATTTGATACGATACTGTTTGTCATGTTGAAAGCAAATAAAACTAACGTCTTTACCACTTCTAGAATTCAGAGTAATCTGATCTTCGTCAGAAAAATCTTTGTAATTAATAAATTTTTCTTCAGAGCATATTTCATTTTTAAATAATCCAATCGAACACTTTTCATTTTCTATCACTGATCTCTTATTTTTTCTGCACTCAAAATTTTAACTAGATAATATCCTTAAATTAAACACTTGATAAGATAATTGTTATAAGTTTAGAATTTGAAGAAAGAGTTATTTCTAGACACTTACTTAGAATGATGACTGTCTTCGAAATAAAAATCAGAAAGGTTAACTTTATCTTACACGTAAAGATTCAAACGTCACGCGACAGATGTCACCACTTCTTCTACTTTAACATCAAATGATAATACAGGTGTCAGTATCATTTTTTTTACGAGTTTTATTTTGAAAATGATCCCAAAAAATGTCATTAATGTTTTTTTTCTCATCATTATGCTACTAAATGAAATTTCAACTGTTCAATATATCAAAATTACGCGATTTGCCAAACTGAATAAAAAAAAAAAAATTTAAGAAAAAATTTTTTTTTAACAAATTTCAAAAATTCATATATTTGAAAAAACAAAAAATACAGTTCCAAAAATTTTAGGATCTTTTAAGATTGGTACAAGGTAGTACACAAAAAAATTTGAGCCAAAAATTTATTGTCGACGGTCAATTTTGACAATTTTCAAAAATTCAAAATTTCACAAATTGGAGATTTTTCAAAATTTTTTTTTGGAAATTTTTTTTTTTTAATAGCCCCAAGTGTCCCCTTTGAAGTTTACCATAAGCGATTTTTTTAATTGCAATAGTTTTCGAGATTTTTGAAACATAAATTTAAAAAATATGGAAAATAGTGAAATTTTGGATTTTGCATAACTTTTGAAAAAAATTTTTTTAATTTTTTTCCTTTGGCAGAACTTCGTTATAGGATAAAAGAAAACTTCTGACCAAAATTTATCCAAATCAAAAGGGGTCGAGTCCAACTATTGGTCGATTTGACGTGGAATGACCCATACACTTTACAGAGTTATTACACTTGTTGTGATTATGGTTAGCTCTACCACACTTGTGACACAAATTAATATTAAAGTAATCAAAAACACGACATCGCTGATGTCCAATGTAAATTTTAAAACCATTGTTATGCAACAGTAGGTACGTTTCAGGTGTAACCTCCAAAATTAGTGTTCTCTTATCAGTTGTATTTTTATAATCGGCAATTATATTGAAAGCACAATTAGACTCACGAAAATTTCTATTGCTTATATCCTCACATAGATCTTCTTTTGATAAGTCATGATCTACGTTTATAATTTTGACCTTAGGTAAATTTAGGTGTTCAAGTTCCACATGGTAATCAACACCCATCTTATCACTTAAAACAGACTTAGCTCTTGCTACATCATTATTATTTTTGCATGTAATGGAAACCAATTTATCCGCCTTTTCTCGTACATTATTTATTGGAATCGCCAAGTCATTTGTGATTTTATTCTTAACTTTTCCCAAGGTCTCACGATTATTATTAGTTTTAGATTTCACTAGAATTTTCGGAATTTCAGGTTTAGGTTGTAAATTATTTTTTACAATACTTGCATAATCACTCAGTTTTCTTGACAGTTAATTCATTGTTAACAATAGCATCCAACAATTTATTTCTAGCTTGTAGTTTCACGTTGATCTGTCTGAGTAGCTCATTTTCCATTTTCGTGGTAGCTAACTCATCCAGATCCAGAGCACTAATATCAGATAAATTTTTAGATTGATTTAGCGATAAGTTATTACATAGTTCACTTCTAAGATCCTCTTTTTCATAAAGTTTTACTTGCGTAATTATTTTTCGAGCATTTTCATCCAACATGTTCAAACCATAGTCCAATTTAACGGTTAGGTTGTCCTGGTGGTGTTTTGGACAGATTACAAGCATTTCACTCACAAATTGACTTTTCGTATATTTATTAAAGTCAGCTTCATGATACACATTTTCACATATCAAACAGATAACTATTTTAGGAACTTTAGACATAGGATGACACTTAAAAACTTTGCACGTATTATTAGACGCAGGCTCCTGGTCGTCCATATTGGAAATTAAAAAGAAAAAAAAAAGTTTATAAGTATTTATTAATAGTTAACAAATGTAGTTATATCTGGCCAGATATAATAAAATCTTTTTATGTCTGATGTATTTTTCAACCCAAATATAGTTATATCTGTTTAGATCTGATCAGATATGACTAGATCTGATCATGTCTGATGAATTTTTCAACTCAGATATAATTATATCTGTTTATTTATTTATTTATTTATTTACTGATCATGGAGATAATTCTCTTTTTGATCACAAATCCAAATAATTACAAAATTGTTGAAAATACATAGGTGGTAAAAAAAACTGATTTAATAATAACAATAATAATAAAACTATAAACAAAGTAATGTTAGTGCAAAAGTAGCAAGTAATCACAGACATTTTCTTCGCATTCAAAATCAAAATTAGATCTGATCAGATATGACTAGATCTGATTATGTCTCCAATCCTATATCTGATCAGATATAAATAGATCTGACCAGATATAATTAGATCTGACCAGATATTATATCTGGTCAGATCTAAACCTTTTTCCCCGGACTATTAACCCTCGGAGTACACTGGGGGTCATTTTGACCCCAGAATTTCTTCATCCTAAAATATACTAGCTGTTACCCGCCCGCTCTGCTGGGCGTTTATAGAATTGTGTTTGTAGATTTAAACTTGAAATTTAATTGGAGTATTATATTGACTTACAAAGATTCCAAACTTCATCGAATTAGCATTTGCCTTTTATCCACGTGATCCTTTTAGCTAATAATTATTGTAACTTTCAATGTCCAATTAATATAACGTTCCTGTGGCTTTCTTCAAAAAATGAATAACAATTGACACAAAGAAAAAAATTTGAAATAAGCATTGAAAGTTTCAGTTAAAGTTATTGTAGGTCTCATAAGTGAAGTTGAAATCTGCCTAGGTCAAAGTCCAGTGAATTTTGCTGTTAATTAAAATTTTCTCCGTAATAAGATCAATTCATCGGTTAGTGATTAGTAAAAATTAAATGTATGTTAATCTCTTAGTCCGTTGACTGAATAGCTACATATAAAGTAAAATTTTGGAAACCTTATAATGACTTTTTAGCCGCTGCCAAAGAGACGATTATTGTAAGAAAATCTAATTATAAGGAAAGAAAAATATTTAAATCGGTTGACCTTGGAAGCCATCCCTGTGATATCCTGTTTCTCTTGAGATTCTATCAAATTTTATATCTGTAGGAACAATATGAATTTTTTGACAATCATCACTCCCGCACTCCTATGTAGGGCAGGAATTTCGTAAGATCCTATTCAAGATGATTTCTACATTATAAACACAAGATTTCAACAAAAGTTTGAGGCCATAGAAACAATTGTTTGAAAATAAGAGATTTTTATAGTTAACGCACCCGCAATCCCTTTTGGAGTTGGAATTCGAGAAAATCGATTCTTAGCTGAACTTGACATCATACACGAAAATTCATACCAAATTTGAAGTCTGTAGAAATTACAGTTTGGAAATAGAAATTTAATATTTTAACACCCACCCCCGCCATCCCTATCGGAAGTATAATTTTTTGAAATCTGTTTTGAGATGATCTCTATATGACAAATAAAAGATTCCTACCAAATTTATTGCTTTTAGAAGCTATATTTTGGAAATTACGATTTTTTATTGTTAACACCCAGTCCGCGATCCTCATTGGAGGTGATTCGTTGTAGAATCCGCTCTTAGATTATTTCTATATCACATATAGAAGACTCCTACTCAATTTGAAGCATGTAGGAGATATATTTTAAAAATCAAAATTTTTTTTCTGTTAACACCCACCCCCTCAATCCATATCTGGAGTAAGTTGTCATAAAATCCATTCTCAGATCATTTCTACCAGACATATAGCAGATTCTTACCAAATTTGGAACCTATAAGAGCGATAGCTTGGAATTTGAAAATTTTCATTGTTAACACCCACCCCCGCAATTCATATTTAGAGTAGGTTGTCATTAAATCCACTCTTAGATCATTTCTATCTTATATGTAGCAGATTCTTACCAAATTTAAAGTTTATGGAAGCTATAGTTTAGAAATTAAAAATTTTTATCGTAAAATTCATTCATAAATGATTTTTACATCGCTTATAGAAAATTTCTACCAAATTTGGAGTCTGTGGGAGTTATAGTTTGAAACTTGAAAATTTTCATTGTTGACACCCACCCCCGCAATACCCTGTCGGGTAAAATATCGTAAAATTCGTTCATAATTGATTTTTACATCTCTTATAGAAAATTCCTACTAAATTTGGAGTCTGTAGGAGCTATAGTTTGAAAATTAAAAATTTTCATTGTTGATGCCCACCCCCACAACCTCCTGTGGAGTGATTTATTGTAAAAAATCATTCATATACATCTCTGATAGAAGACCTACCAAATTTGGAGTCGATAGGAGCTAAAGTTTAAAAACGGGAATTTTTCATTGTTAACGCCCCCGCAAACCCCTTTGGGGAAAGAATTTTTTAAAATCCGTTCTTAGCTGACCTCCAAATGGCAAAAGTAATGTTCCTACCAAATTTCAAGTTTCTAGGTCTGATGGTTCCCGAGATATCGTGATAAGTGACTATATGGATAGGAATCTCTTATAATAATATAGATTTCGAAAAAGGCTGGCAATAGCCTAATCGGCTCGGTGCCTACATTTCGAAAGAGTAGGACCCGGGTTCGATTCCAGCACGCACCACTATTTTCAGTGATTATAAAATAAAAAAAAATATGTGCGTTACGTTGCCAGCCTCTGTACCGACCGGGTTTTCTGTGGTTTTCCCGTGTAGTTATGGAAGTAAAAATGTCATTATAGAATTATTCCATGCTACTTAAGGTCGTAATGCAAATGAAGGTACTGATTATAACGCGTAAGTCGGCCACAGTCGCAGCACAGTGGATTATAAAGTGGAAAGAATATGTTGAATGCAAAGAAAAAATAAGTGTTAGTTAAAGGGACGAAAGCCAGGTATAACATTATGAATGTCATATGATAACAAAAGAGACACTTGAGTGGTATTACTGTGGTAATAAAAAAAAATTGTGGAGAATATGGCTTACAGTCTTGTAAAAACCAAAATAGGTATACAAGTAAAAACGATATAATAATAATATAAATTTCGAAAATAGGTTCGTTTTGAATTAATTTTTCAACCTTAAAAACTATTTAATTTCGAATAACAATGATTGTATTCAAAAAAACATTGTTTTACCTACCAAAAATGTAATAACCGGAATTCCGATAAAATGCATAGTTTCTGAGATATAATTCTTCGAAATTCAAGTGAGGTCAATTTGACGCCGTGTGTACTCTGAAGTTCTGTTCGGAGGTGAGTACTCCGAAGATTAATTGTAATAGTGTAAATTTCTGTTTTTTAGATACATATTTATATAGATTATCAGAAATTTATGAATATTTCATGATATGATTTTCCTTGAATTTATTATTTTTTTAAGCGTTCTAAAGGTACTGGGGAAAAAATAACACAACCTCCCAACCCTGGAAACTTGCAGTGCTTGAACAAAAAGCGGTGCTAGTTCAATGACTCTATATAAACCAAAATTTGAATGAATTTCGCTTTATTCTTAACTAAACCTGAGGTACCTACGATGGCTGATTTCCTTACGGTCTAAATGCTACAAGCCATTATTGACTTGTAAGCTTACAATATTCATTAATGATATATAAAATTACGATATTTGAATTTAGATCACGAGTTGTCGTGGTAAAGTAGACAAAATTTAATAATAAAAATTAAATCCAGTTATGACGATAGAATCGCCTTCTGATTTGAATTAATTATAAATATTTATAATATTTTGAGTAATCAATTATTGATTATGCTTTATAAGATACAGATTAATATTAAAATAGTCGACATTAAGTCGGAAAAGAAATATAAAATTGATTAATTATTCGACTCTTGTCGCTATATATAATATTTGAGATAAAAATCATTCAAATGATCGACTTCAGTCGTTAAATGACTAAAGTAACGTAATCGGCTCAGTAGTCGCTGAATATAATATTTGATATCTAAAAAAAAAAATCTATATAGAAAAAATAAAACAATAAAATTGATTATTATATTGAGCGGCTATTGAGGCTGATTTCTCTAAAGTTTAAATACGAAATATAGATTAAAATATAATCGACATTCGTCGATGATTTTAGTGCGTAAAATTAAACAAGTGTCCCTTGCACTAAGTTAATTATACAGTAATGAAAAATATACGGTAACTGTTTAATAAGTATAGTTAAAATTCTAACTTAACTAATGACAATAATTGATATAAGAGACGCGAATCGGGTCTGGCTATTTCACGACGTCGCGCACATCACTGTTTCGTAAACGAGTTAAAGTTTCTCTGTTAAAGCACTCGTGTAATTTGGCGCGCGAATCTTCCTGCTGTTGATCTTCAAGTTGTCTCGATAGCTTCCGAAAGGACATCTCTTCGGGTGGTGCTGATTTCTTGTAGTCTTGCTGTTCGTCAATGATACATATGCTTGACCTTGGCCGAGGTATCGGAGCCATAGGTCGTTGTTCTTCTTCGTCGAAAATCCGCCTTTGGTGATGGTGACGATGAAGTAGGAGGTTGGTTAACGTATCGTAAACCGCTGTCACTAACAATACGCTGCACCCATAAATGGTATAAAGGGCGTAGGCGTGGAATAAAGTATCAAGGACGAACTTCAGTAACCTTATGATTAGCAAAATTGAGAAGACGCCGGCGGTGAACGAGCCAAAATCTATTAATGCTCGCCAGATCTTCCAGCCGGTGCTAGTTGCTAATTTCTCGAGGGCCTCTTCGTCGAATAAGCCCATAACGTCGAGACTTCCTGGAGGAATGGCACGTCCTGCTGCCCCCATCGCTATGGAATTTAAAAGAGCGGGTCTTTCCGCTGGAAACATGATGCGGCTTCTCAGCTTTTCCAAATCTTTTTGAGAATAAATTCCCGATGTTGCTAAATGCTCCGGA